CACCATACCGGTTGGTGGCTCCAACCGGTATTAAAGGGGGGGGGGGTCTTTAGTACCAGTTGGAGCCACCAACCCGTACTAAAGGCCACCACCTCTTTAGTACCGGTTCGTGGCACGAACCGGTACTAAAGGTTCGCCACGAACCGGTACTAATGAGCGCCGCCCGCCTAGCCGTTGGAATCGGCACTATTGGTCACATTAGTGCCGGCTCAAATACAAACTGGGACTAATGAGCTGAACATTTGACCTTTTTTCTACTAGTGTAGGTGGTTGACCATTGGGGTCCTTGCCTGGACGCTGTGGACTGTTAGGAATAAACTTGTGATTCAGCGTATTCCTCTTCGTCGTGCTACTGACGCTTTGTTCAAATGGTCTGGTTACTTGCAGCTTTGGCGGCCGCTTAGCCGTCCCAGGGAGAGAGACGCCATCACCTTCATCATCACCCGGCTTCGTGCGATGGCTCTCCGGTTGGCGCCACCGCTTCCTCCGCCACCACCAGAACCAGATTAGAGAGTCGAGTCCACGCCTCCGCCACCGCCGTCTAGGGATGTTTCGTCGTGCGTCTGTGTTGGGCTTGTTGTGTTGTGCCCACATCGGAACTTGGCCTGTTGTGTTTGTGTGTGTGACTGTTGGACCTGACTTGGGTGGCATTGTGTTGGTGTGTGGTGTGTTTTGTTGTTACCTTGATACTTTGTGCTTGGTGGGTGTTTTATTTATAAAGTGGGGTGAAAGCCTTTTTCGATAACATTGAAGGCACTATTGGTCAATACAAATATTACAATCATGACATTCGGATATTCCTTCGAAAATTTTAAATTGCTATGGGTTTTTGCAAATTTGAATCTTCTTTGTAATATGGAAAATGAAGCCGACCTTTTTTTTTCTTTAGTGAAGTTACTAAATTATATTCGAATGTCAAGTCTAGATGCAAATTAACACGGGCCATTCCAACACAATAAGGTGCCATATCTTTCCAGCTGATAAAACAAGAAAGAAGACTTCCAAATACATAGACAACGTGTCAAACGAATACGGATAAGATGAAACATTTTTGCTCTAACTACACAACTTCACTCTGGCAGTTGGTTGCGCAGAATCCTGAGAATCAAGAGGTCATGAATTAACACTGAACACTTGAAGAGAGTCGCGGTCTCTCTAGTCCTGGAGGAACAAGCAAACTCTGGCCTCGTCGTACACCTTTCCTGGCCGGCAGAAGTAGCCTCGCTCGGGCGCGCAGTGCGAGTCCTCAGAGCAGATGCAGAGTCCTTCCACGGCGCAGCTCTCCTTGACGATGTCGGGGCTTCCATTGATGCTGAGCATCTGGTCGCTCCACTCGCTCGAGAAGAGCACGTCGGGGTCATACCTGTCCTTCACCCGGAGGAATTTACCAGCTCCCGGGTACTTCGTGATGACACCGCTGAATGCCAAGTTACGGTTCTTTCCCCAGTGCGGGAGGCCACCGTACTTGCGTAGCGCCATCTACTCGACCTCGTCCACCACGTCGGCGTGCGCGCGCGGCATGCCGTAGGTGCGGCTCCGGTAGTAGATGATGTCGAAGTCGACGCAGTCCTCCGGCTTGCCGAGGTAAGCGGAGGACGCCTTGACGTAGCGGACGAGCACGCCGACCCTGGTGTCGACGCCGGCGCAGAAGATGTCCGGGTTGAGGTCCTGGAGCCGTTGCATGTCCGACACAAACGCCGGCGCCTTGGAGAGCGCGACGCTGAAGCCGGAGTTGTAGTAGAAAGAGCCCCGGATGCGCCGGTCCCAAGGGCAGCCGCTGAGGAGACCGTCCTCCGGGCTATCCATGCAGGTGCCGGACGCCTGGATGCGATGCTGGTAGCCCACGACCGGGTACCCCGTGAATGAGACGCCGTCGTTTGTGTAGCCGTAGGCCTGCCGTTCCACCGTGTCCGCCAGCGGCCGCGCCGCCGCGCACAGGTCGGCGGCGGTGGTGCCGTTCTCCTGTAGCCGCTCCTCGGCGGCCTTGCATCGACGAGCATGAGCGTGGGGGCGGACCGGGCAAGGAGTGTGTCGCTGAGGCCGTTGCCCGGCGACGACACGTCGACGCGGTCGTCCTGGCGGTAGATGACCTTGCGCTGCTCCGGCTGCCACGTCATGTCGGCGAACTCGTGGAGGCGGCCCCATGCTGCCACTTGGTCCGCCAGGTCTGAGTCGTCGCGCTTCACGAACGCCACCGACCGCTTGAACAACGGCTGCAAGAGTTAATTGCACGTTAATACCACACTTGCTCACCTACTCACGTTAGTACCACTACTCGTGCATGTCGCAGTTCAGTATCAACTCAGGGCCTAAATGATGCAAAACGGTCTAAGCTGCGTATAAAGACGTATTAACGGCGTATCTGACCGCTGGGACCCGCGTGCCAGGAGCCAACTTGGCATATTTTTTGCAGAAAACACCTTTGTTTTTAATTAAATCACTCCCATCCGCCTCACCTGTGCCCCACCGCCTCTACCTTGTCGGGCTTGCTCGCCGGAGCCCCGTTGCCGGGATGCCCCACCGCCTCGGACCGCAGCACTCACGTAGCCGCGGCAGCATCCGGGGCAGTAGCAGGGGTGCCCCCTGTCGTCGACCGCATCGCGCCCCATCTCCTCCCGGCTGCTCCTCTCCGCTAGAGCCGCCTCCGCGCGCTCCCCGCTCGCGCATCTCCTCGCCGTGGCCTCCTCGTGTGTCGCCGGAGCCGCGCCAACACCCGGGCAGTAGCAGGGGGCGACCCCCGTCGTCGAATGCATCGCCCCCCATCTCCTCCCCGCCGCTCCTCTCCACCAGCGCGCGTCGCCGGAGCCGCCCGAGCACGAGCGCTTGGGAGCGCCGCGCCCGAGCTCCAGGAACAGCTCCTCCGCCAGTCTGCCGCGGTTTCCGAGTACGTTGCCGGCGCAGCCCACCCGCACGAGCTCCTCCACCGTGGTCTCCGAATACGCCGCCGGGCAGCCCCGGGTTTGCGGCAAGACCTTTTTTTGACAAACAGAGGATATGTGCGTGATTAAATACAAGGTAAGGGTTCTATTTGTAAAAGAGCATGCCACATCAGCCCCTGACAGCGGGTCCCGGCGGTCAGATACACCGTCAATACGCATTTATACGCAGCTCGGACTGTTTTGCATCACTTAGGCCCTGAGTTGGTACTGAAGTGCGACATGCACGAGTAGTGGTACTGATTCGTGAGTAGGTGAGCAAGTGTGGTACCAACGTACAATTAACTCCGGCTGCAACGCCAGCGTGACCCGAGAGACGACGCCGAGAACCCCGAGGGAGACCTTTGCCGCGTCCAGGTCCGGGTGATGGGCGCCGAGCTCCCTCACCACGGCGAACCCCTGGCTCGCCGGCGCCGGCGTCACGATCCTCAGCCGGACCACGTACTCGTGCACGGCGCCGCCCTTGCCCCACAGCGAGCTGCCGTGCGCGCCCGTCGACAGGAGCCCCCCGATGGTTAGGCCGCACCAGTACGGCGAGTGCGGCAGGGACAGCCCTGCGGCGCGGGCGGCCTCGATCAGGTCCCGGAGGACCATGCCGCTCTCCACCGTCATAAGCCTCCTCTCCACGTCCACGCGCACAGTCCGGTTGAGCCGCGCCGTGCTAATGATGGTGCCGTCCAGGCCGCCGGGGCACGCCAGCTTGGGGAGGCTGTGTGAGTACTTGGTGGCGACCTTCATCTTGCGCTTCGCCGCCGCCGCCGCCGCGACGGCCGCCACGAGCTCTTGTTCCGTGCGCGGGTAGGCGACGTTGCCCGCGCGGCAGATGCTGCGGTCCGGGAAGGAGCCGAACGAGTTGGTGACCGTGCAGTTGGATGTGCCGTGCGTGCAGACCACCGGCTCCGGAGGAGGGCTGCAGCCGGCGACGTGGAGGAGGATGGCCAGAGAGAGAACCGCGAGCGGGATTCCTATTGCTCCCCTTTGTCCTTGCGACATCACGGTTATGACTCTTGAATTAGTAGGATACCTCTGCTACAGCTTGCTTTATACTATAGCTAGATTGATCACCATGCTTGTGTAATTAGTTTGTCTGGCTTCTCTCTCAATTTTTCTTGTTTGTCTCCCACTTTAAAAAAAATTGAGGCAAATTGCGAGAGCAGCGGTTTGGTGTCCAGGCTCATCTGCACCATGCTAACGAAAAAATTCAAAACAAATACTAGAGAAATCAATAAATTCAAAAAAAGAAGCATGATAGATAATTTGGTACGTGAGGTCCACTTCAAATTTCAGATTTGGACATCTAAGTAGCTGTCGACAAAAAAACAAATTTAGGGCTTGTAAAAAAGTTTACTGTTCATGTGCTGTTTTGATCCAATTTGTCTTTTTTCTGAGAGCTACTCATATATTTAAACAATTTAAAATTTGAAGCGCACCTCACACACCAAATTATCCACCATGCAAAAAAAAGAATTTTTTTTGATTTTCATGAATTATTTGTAAAAAAAAATTAACCGGGCGCAGATAAGTATGGGCTCAGAAATGGATATTCAGCAAATTGCTCTTTTGTCATACATGCCCGTGTCTCAGGTCTGAACTTCCATCTGGAAGATATTCCAAGGGGGCTGCGAACTGCGCAAGCTTCTGTCGATAAAAATGGTCTTCAACAACTTTATACTCTAGGCTGGCTGTCTTGTCTCGGTGGTTGCAAGTTGACTTTTCATGAAGAAGCGAAAAAATGTTAAGTCAACTTTGTGTTAGCCTTCTTTTTCTCATATGTGTCTATTATTTTGCGAACAGGTTCAGATCAATTGATTAAACTACCAGTCCAGCAACTCCTAAAAAAATAAAGAAAACTGAGATGGATAAGCTACATGTTAAGATAAATAAGATAGTAATAAGAATGAATTTCTTATGTATATAGGATACATAGAGGTTCAAACGGGCTGGTGGAGCATCGCTCTGCTGCCTATCCATCCCTGGGCAGCAAGTCGTTATTGATCGTGGATGAGGAGCCATCAAGGCTACGACACAGTCGGATCAACACCTTGGCGAAGAAATTGAAAGACACACAAATCCAAAATCCAAACATCTCAAAAAGCTCACGTGCTTTTACACTGGCACCGAAGGGCGACCAACATGATGGAGAGAAGGTCGGAGGACCAAACTACAACGTGAAGTCGCGCTACTACTAGTTCTGCATTTGTGTAGTGGATTATTCGTCTCTTGTAGTCCCTTCATTCCATAATGTAACGCATATAGATTTTGTAAAAGTCAAGCTTTTGCAAAAAGCAAAATTTGATCAAGCTTATATAAATTTTGTACTATAGATAGTGATAATTCTCTCTATAAACTTAGTTAAAGTTGGCTAAGTTTAACTTTTGAAAAAACCTATAGGCACTCTACTGTGAAACCAAGGGAGTACTTGGAATACCATACTAATATCACACAAAACTAGTAGTGGCACCAATAAAAATTAGAATCCACAATGTTGATCTTTTCATTATTAAATTTTATTTACATGTTCTAAGAGCATCTCCAAGTGAAACTAGGCACATCCAAGCTAAAGCTACAAATTACTCCCTCCGTTCCCTTATGTAGTGCGCATAAGCTTTTTGAAAAAATTTCGATTTGTAGTGCGTATTAGCTGCCCCCACCCTCCTTTGGACGAAAATAACCCTTCGCTTTATCCTCTTCCTCCCGCATAGCTCCCCTTTCTTTGTTCGCTCGTTCGAACCCGATCGAACGAAAGATCCTTGATCTCCTCGCCTGATGCACGCCATCCCCCGGCGGAGTCTTTCTTTCCGAACCGGAGCCCGGCGTTGGGACACTGATGGGCGTGTCGGCGCTCGGAGGTGGTGAGCACCGGCGGTTGGCGAGGGCGCCGATGGTGCCGGTAGGAGAGGAAGGGCCTACGCGGGCGGATGCCGAAGGAGGGGACGGCGGCAGGGTGGAAGCTGGTAATGGCTCTGCCGCGACGACGCCAACGGAGCTGCCGACGAGTCTGGGCGAGTTCTTGGACACGGAGCGGCGCCTTTTCTGGCGGTGACACCGCTGTTCGAGGACTGGAGGATGCATCCACGGCCAGTGTCTGCTCGTTCACCACGGCCGGCGAGACCAAGTCGTCAGGACACACCAACGGCGAGACCAAGCCGCTACAGCTCGCTGCCACTTCGACCGGTGAGTACACGCTCGCGGTGGCCGCTTCTTCTCCAAGTTTCAGTGCACGCTCAGCTCAGCATGTGCCTGCTCAGTTTGTCCTCTGTTCGGCAAATAAATCAACGCACTAGTTGTGTGAGTTGGACCCAGCTATCTAAATTTATTTGTGACATTGCTCCAAGCAGAGATGGAGAGAACGAGACGGGGAGAGAAAAAGATGTACTAGTACTCTTTGAGACCGGATGGAAGGACATGGGTATTATCGTCGAAAGTACACCCTCCACCTCACTCATTGGTATATGAGCTGAGAACTATACGCACTACTCCCTCCTCTCCGGTTTATAAGGCTTATCTCAACTTTTTTGTTTTTCCAATTTAGAGGGCTCATCT